AGTGGAGCCCAATAACTTGGAATGACTGAATTATTTTTAACTCACCACTGTAGCTGTGGCTATCATGGTGTAGTCAGCCCATCTGAGATACTTCCTTATTTTCCCTCTCGAAGCATGATAAAAACTTGATGCAACTCCTACACCAATTAAAGAATTTGCGTAGATTTTACAATTCAAATTTTTCCTGCATCAGAACCTAGTAAGATATGAGCAGCAATAAAATACACAGCTTCTCGCTTGTAATTCAACTTTTGAGTAGACATAGAATCATCACCTTGGAGCTTGGAGTCCAAGAACAATAAAGGGAAGTGAAGTCAGAACATTTACAACTGTTTCAGTAATGCTTTTATCACCTGAGAGGGATCAAATAATTCATCACTACTAATACAATAAAAAAAAAAAAAAAAGAATTAACTAAACAGAATATGAACCAGGTTTGACTTAGTATACATAGTACCACTATGGTTACAGTGAATGGGCCTCAAACAGGCAGGTCTTTGATGCCAGACCTTCCTGAATAACAAGACATCACAATTAGTGACAAAGAACAATGAAACAAACAAATACTTGCATTTTTTAAGTTGGTAACAGAACATATGCAAATGTTAAGAAATGTGGAATCTTTTGACTCACTGGACAATAAGCCTTTGGCTGCTCCTAGAATGGGATGATCCACAAGACGACTCATTGAGATTCCCATGTTGTTTTATCTCTTGGAAGGTAAACGGCAAATTAGAGACCAAACGGACTCCATTTACTCCGACTAAGGCTTTACTAGGCTTTAAAGCACTCTCGGCAGTCATATGTTACTTGGCAATCAGTCAAAATACGACCGATTGCCAAAAACACAAACGGACCTCAAAAGGGGAAGTTAGGATGTACCAAGATTTGACTATCTGAAAATACATGCAGGTGCAGATAGAACATTATGACATCACAAAAGGTATAAATATTGGCAATAAAGGCAAAGATGCAGTTGGATTCCTTGACTAAGTACTTGAATTCTTGAATGCAGCTTTCAATACCACCAATTCTACAATTCTTTCATCAATCGCTTTTTATGTCAATCAGATTCAGAGGGAATCTGAACTGGGGTTATCCATTTTA